AAGCTTTTTTTATAAGTAAAAAGACTAATCTAACTAGAATACTTTTTTTTAATAGCTGCACTAATAAAGCGCGCTTTTAATGTAAAAAAAGCTTCCTTTTTATTTATTTTAAAAGTCTAGAATGCTTACTATGCCTTAGTCTTCTTTTAACTAGTAATAAAATAAGCTTAGAAAAGGTTTACTATATCCTCTACACTTGTAAACTAAAACTAGTCTAATTTAGCTAGGTATCCTAGCTCTAGATAATCTTTTGCAATACTAGCTATGTGTGTAACAATTCTCCTTCCATCTCAGGTCGCCCAGAACCCATCCGAAGGGTCCCTGTATCGGCTCCGACCCTGACTCGACCTAGCCCCGACTCTGCCCTGCCCCCTGCTGTTACCCCTATTCCCTCATATATTTAGTCGCACCTCGCCCTGTAGCTAGCTTAGTAGTTTTCTGATATCCTTTTATACAAAGCCTATAAATATCAATAGCATTCCCAGGTTCAGAGTCCCCACGCACTCCCATATGCCTCTGAGTGGATTCCCACCGCATTCGGACCCATTGTCTTGCCTGCGCTGTTACAATGTGTTTCTATATTAATGCTATGTGTGCACACTTGCTTTAATAGTAATCTAAATTAATATTAAGTCTATTTATAATAAAAGCTTACTATTATTTAAATGTAGGTTCTTTGCTATCTATAAAAATCCTAATTTTAAGTATATATTTAGTAAAGTAGATTTACTAAGTTTAAGAAGTGCCTAAAAAGTCTCTTACATTTAAAGTAGTAAAAGTAGTATAAGGTGTTATTAAAGGTAATTTAGTAGTTAGTAGAGGTTAACTAGTAGTTTTTAGCTAAATTAGCTACTTAAGCTATGCTTATAATTAAGTAAAAGTATAGCTTTAAGTGCTGTAGGAGTAGGTTTAGCTGTTAACATAAATTATTAATTAACTCTAGGGGGCTTACCTTAGCTAAGGTGTATTTTAATTCTAAAATTAAAAGGTAGTAGTTAGCTAGACATTAGCAGTTACCTTTAATTTTAATAAGTTATTAGTAGTCTTTAAGTTTCTACTTTAGCACCTTTTTATAACTTTTCTAAAGGTAATCTTAATTATAGAGGATAAAAGGTTCTAAACCTAAAAGCTTTAGTTAACTAAAAGTTAATAAAATCTAGTCTATAAACTACATAGTTTAATATAATAGTGTGTAAGTATTATAACCTAAACTAAATTAGACATATCTTAGGCTTAAATATAGTTAAATAAATAATTAGTGTAATATTATAATAAGGCTGTTACTAGTAAAAGTAAGTTTTTTAATATAATGTAACTGCATAGGCAAGACAATAGGTCTAAATGCAGTAGGAATCTACTTAGAGGCATATAGAAGTGTGTAGGGACTCTAAACCTAGAAATGCTATTAACACCTATAGGCCTTGTACAAAAGGATATTAGAAAACTACTAAGCTAGCTACAGAAGCAAGGTGCAACTAAATACATAAGGGAATAGGGGTACAGTAGAGGGCAGGGCAGAGTTAGGGCTAGGTTAAGGTTAGGGCTGATACAGGGGCCTTCTAGAGGTTCTAGGCAACCTAACAATTCATGAGAATTAAGTCAGGGTTAGAGCCAATACAGGGACCCTTCGGATAGGTTCCGGGCGACCCGAGATGGAACGAGAATCGTTACACTAGGGAGAAGAGGCAGTGTGTTATAGTCTATAGTTAGACTAACATAACTCTACCTAAAGTACTCTACAATCTAGCTAGGTTAGAGCAGGGCTTGTTTATAGACTAACTAGAACGTGCAGAGGCAGCATAGCTGCCTATAGCTACAGAAGAATACATTGTCTAATAAAAAGGTAGGCTAAGAAATAAGAACAAGTTAAATAAGTTAGATTAGTTACGCTAGGTAGACTTATCTAAACTTAACTAATGCGTTCTTAGCACTATTAAACATGTATATAGTTCTAACTTTAAACAACCTTTAGAAAGTGTGTTTAACATTTAGTTTATTTTTTATATAAACTAAGTAAGCATTTTAGCTTTTTAAAGAGCTGTAATACTATTTATATATCTTGCAACATATATACCTCTAATTCTATCTAACAAGACTGTTTAACCTAGCCACTATACTGCTGCTATAGGGACAAACCACGATCTAGTCACTCTAACCTACTCTGTTAGCCTATTAGCCATTACGTAGGACTGTACACCCTACTGTCGGCCCCTAACCTCCGTCCTATCACCCTAGGAACAACATTGACCCGAGTGCTTCCCGAAGCAAGGATTGTAACACCTTGCTTCTCTAGCTCCACACGGTAGTAGAGACAGTGCTTGTCATCACAAACAGTAGATAAATAGGAAAAGAGAAGAAGATACAACATAAGGCTGCTATAGCTACAAACTTTTAAAGTAATTGCATTAAATAGCAACTGCTAACGTACCTAGCTAAAATAATTAACGTACTTCACAGGCAAGTTGCTTACACACCTAAGTTGCTTACTTTTACTAAGACTCTACTAAACTACTTTTTTTACACTAATACATTTCTAACAACACTACTTAAATATGCTAAAAGAATGTTAGATATAGCTTACACTCTAAGCTTTTAAATAAAACATAAAACTTTTAAAAAAACATGCTGCAGCTATGTATAAAGTTCTTTAAAAGATAAAAAATAACTATAGCACTAGACAACTTTTATAAGCTAATTCTATAGCTAACTTATAAAGGCTAAGTAATAATAAGAAGTAAGTAATTATTAAGACTATACTAAAGCTATATATGTAAGGATTTTCCCTTAAAATAGCATTTATAGCTAATATAGCTAATTCTTTACACGCTAAGCATAATCTAGGCTATATTAGCATAAACTAGCCTAGTATGTTTATAAAGTGTTATTTAAAGCTTAAAGTAAAGTTTTAAGCATAAGTATACTTAATAAATATTTAGCCTATAATAAAGCTTATTTTACTAAAGTTATACATGTTATTATTCTAGATGCTATACTTAGCTTTAATATTTTTTATAAGGCTAAACCTGCTCTAAATTACTCTAAAACTCTTATAAAAAGCTTTTTTATAGTTATACTACACTTAAACATTACTTTAAGCTCTAAATAATGCTTTCTAAACATACTAGGCTAGTTTATGCTAATATAGCCTAGATTATACTTAGCATGTAAAGAATTAGCTATATTAGCTATAAATAGTAGTTAAGAGGAAAATCCTTGCACATATAGCTTAAGTATAGTCTTAATAATTACCTACTTTTTATTATTACTTAGCTTTTATAAGTTAGCTATAGAATTAGCTTGTAAAGGTTATCTAGTGCTATAGTTATTTATTATTTTTTAAGAGACTTTATACATAGCTGCAGCATGTTTCTTTAAGAGTTTTATATTTTATTTAAAAGCTTAAAGTGTAAGCTATATTTAATGTTCTTTTAGTGCGTCTAAGTAGTGTTATTAGGAATATATTAGTGTAAAAAAAGTAGTTTAGTAGGGTCTTAGTAAAAGTAAGCAACTTAGGTGTGTAAGCAACTTGCCTGTGAAGTACGTTAAGCTTAATTATGCAAAGTCCTAGCTCTATAGTACATTAGACGCTGCATTTGCAGATAATCTAGCAACTTGTTAAAGCTTTTATAGACATCTATTTAAGCTCTTTAGTTTAGCAGTAGACTAGAAAGCTGCCTTATAACAAACTATTACTAAATTAACTATAGAGGCAGAGCTCTTAGCTCTCTCGCAAGCTAGTACTAACATAGAGTAGTAGAAGCTGTTCTTTATACAACTTTAGCTTCTAATTAACAATACCCCTGCTATCTAGTGCAACAATTAGCAGACAATTAGAATTGTTATAAAAAATTTATTAAAGCTTTAAACTAAGCTTAAGCATGTTAACATTACTAGAGCTAGTTACAACAAGAGATCTCTGCTAGTAGACTACATGTCAACTAGAAACCTACCGCTTAGATGCCTACAGACAGTCTTACCAAGTTGCTCCTAAGACAAAAACATAAAGAGTTTGTATAATAATTAAGCTTAGAGGATATCTTTACTAACCTTTTTACAAGTAATTTATTATTAACTCTTTATGCACTGCACACATCTCTTTAACTATCTACTATACAAATTGCTTACAAATCTGTCTGTCTTTTGTTTAGCTTTTATTCTGCCTATACATTCGCTTCATTTCAAGCTGGGGGTGTGTGTTTGCAGTAGTGACACGGTAGTCGGATGCGTCGTCACCATAGTCACACGATAGTCGGATGTGTCGTCACACGATGGTCGGATGCGTCGGCACCATGGTCTGCTGCCAAGACTCACCCACTTATTTCGCATATATATAGACTCCTACAAAGGACTCCTCGAGCAATGAATTCAATCCAGTTCCTCATGCATCTGGTGCTCCACATAGCTTCACATATACAGAGTACTGAATTTAGTAGGGTGCGCAACATCCCTGTATGCGTAGATTCTAGAGATTAGGTAGCCGAGCTTAAAGGGCTTTTGTGAGAGAAAAGCTTGCGCAGCGCTAAGGCGCAGCACGCTCGATTAGTTCTTGGCACGATCATGTGACAGGCAGCGGACCTTGACAGGCAGCCCCGTCATAGGTACCTATAGGTGAATTACAAAAAGCCGCTTTTCTGATAAGAAAATGTCGCAGCGCGCGAATGTTAAGATGTTACTAAGAAAATCCTTCAATTTTGCATAAAATAATAGATGTGGGGTGTGGTTGCTTGGCATCTTTCGTGTTAACCGAGCAAATTACATCGCTACTACATGCAGCGAATACGCCGTTGACGTTTAGTCTTAATATCCGCCTTTCTTAACCATCTTTTACTGTCCCTAGTACGCAAAGTCTACTCCAAATCACTAAAGGTTAATTGTTGAAAACAGAAATGGGTGTCACCACAGAAGAATGGCAACAACAGGAGAGAAAGATAATTGATGAATTCTTCAAAGTCAAGGTTCCTAAAGTTGTCGAAGATTATGCGGACACTACTTGCACCAAGGACTCCTGTATCGAATTTGGGAAACAAGTCATGCAGGCCGAAGACCTCGAGCCTGTCCATAACCAAGGATGCAACAGCTTCACCCTGGTATGCCATCGCAAGCAAAAGATTGTACAGTTCCGCCTGAAACCTTTCGATGCCCTGATTATGGACTTGGCCCATCAGATTTACGGCACAATGGTCCCTCGAACCGACTTTCATGACGGCTTTCCCCTACCCGTGTATGTCAGTGACATCATGACTGGAAAGGTCCATGTGCTTCAACCCTTTCCTGAAGAATTCCCAATAGAAAGGCAGAAAAAGACAGTCATTGATCTAGGCCAATTCGTGGCGAGGTCAACACACTTTTCACAGCCTAAGACCTCGTACCGGGCGGACAGCTGGACTATGATGTCAAAGAAAACTCTCAACCGGCTCCATCACAACTCGTCTCTCCAAGCTGCCCCAGAGATCGCCGAGATAGTGTCCCGTCTCCTGGAAAAGGTTCACCTTCTTGACCTCCTCCCTGCTGTCTTAACGCATCATGACTTCTCCGAAGTAAACATCCTCGTAGATGACGCTGGGGATGTAACAGGAGTCATAGACTTTGACGTGGCAGGCATTGAAGCATTTGGAATGTGCATTTGGGGAGTGTATGAGTGCTTCCTTGGCTCTATGAATGATGGGAAGTGGTCTTTTCACGATCAAGCTGCGACTGGTTATCCGGGACAAACAGTTCGTGGCGTACTGGAGACAGCGTTCTGGGATTCGCTGTGGTCTAACGTCTCTCAAGAACTGAAGGAGAAGCGAGAAGAGTTGGACGCTGCGATAAGGATGGCTTTAAGCATTGGGGTCATCAATCGATATTTCATCAGGGGCATGATGGACAAGGTCGACGAGAGCATCAAAGTTCATCGTTTGTCGCTGGAATACGCTAGGGGAATTTTGCCAGCTGTCCAGAAAGGTTGGAAACCGACAGACGACACTTTCTGTTCAGATGATAATAGTCCTCAATAACAGCCTTTCGCTTCTAGTACCCTTCTGAGAGCCTCATTTAGTGAATCGCGGGCAGCCTTGTACAGGTCCTGGCAACAGTTTACCTTGCCATTGAGTCTTTCTCTAAAGGGTAGATTAAATCTTTAGGTAGACCTGCGGCAAGCTAATAAACTACAACAATTGCTTATAAATTACGCTGCAAGTGTTATGCCTAACTGTGCTGCAACACCTATAGTGTCTTTTTATATGCACATTCTTTGCTACGTTCTTTCTATTATTACAACTAGTAATGTACTTCATGGGCAAGTTGCTTACACACCTAAGTTACTTACTTTTACTAAGACCTTACTACACTACTCTTTTTACACTAATGCATTCCTAATAACACTACTTAAACCTGTTAAAAAAACATTAGATATAGCTTATACTTTAAGCTTTTAAATAAGACATAACACTTTCTAAGCAACATGCTGCAGCTATTTATAAGGTTTTTTAAAAAATAATAAGTAACTAACACACTAGATAACCTTTTTAAGCTAATTATATAGCTAACTTATAAAAGCTAGATAATAATAAAAAGTAGGTAATTATTTAGCATATACTTAAGCTAAATGCGTAAGGATTTCCCTCTTAGCTAGTAGCTGTAGCTAATATAGCCAATTCTTTACATGCTAAGCATAATATAGGCTATATTAGTATAAACTAGCTTAATATGTTTATTAAGCATTACTTAAAGCTTAAAGTAAAGTTTAAGTGTAAGTATAACTATAAAAAAGCTTTTTATAAAAATTTTATAGTAATTTAAAGCTAGTTTAACTTTATAAAGAATATTAAAGCTAAGTATAGCATTTAGAATAATAACATGTACAACTTTAATAAAATAAAGTTTATAATAGGCTAAATATTTACTAAAGCAGTTATTATAAGTTTAGAAAGATAAGGACAGCTAAAAGTAGTCTAGCTAGGTAACTAGAAGTAGACAACAGCTATCTAGGGCATTAATGCTAAAAAGTAGGCTATTCTGCTTTTTATTATTTTTTAGAGTAGTAACTACTTTTTAAACTAGTATAAAAAGAAAAATCTACTTTAAAATTAGGTTATTATAATCTCTAAGCGCAGCTAGACTACTAATTAGCTTAGTCTAGACTAGTTAAAGCACTTTAATATGCATATAAAGAAGTGTACTATTAGCAGCTACTATCTACTAGTTATTAATAGCTATAAAAGCTATAACTTACTTTATTTTTAGTAATACTATAAAAATAATAAAATTATTACTATTTATATGCTTTTTTACTTATTACACTTTTTATAGCTACTTAATGTAGGTTATTTTACTTTTTTAAAGAAGGTATATAAGCGCTAAGCTAAAAACTTTATACATAACTAAATTACTTATATTATAAAAATTAAGTTCCTAATATGCTTTAAAATAGCCTATAATGCTATAATTACTTTTAGTAATATTTAAAAAAAGTTTTAAAGCACTAGATTAGTTTCTTTTAACTTATAATAAGTTATAATAGGCTTTAATGTAAAGTTATGCACTTTATTACTACTACTACTTATATATAATAAGCCTTAGCAGTTATAAACCCTAAGTAATACTTTAAAACTTAAGTTATAATTAATGCTTATAAAAATAAAAATTTAAAAGCATATAAATAGTTTACTAACTTTTATAGTTAAGGTGTTTAAGAAGGTTTTAAAAAGAGTAGTAATAATTACACATAAGCTAGTGTTAGTGTAATAAAAAATTACTAAGCTTTAAACAGCTAATAAGACTGCTATATAATGTAAATTATATAAAAGAAAGTAAATTAAAGTAAAAAAGACCTTAATAATTTAAAAAGGCCTACGCTTAATAGCTCTAAAGAAGTTTAAAGCGCGTAGTAATAAGAAGAAGGTAAAGAAGCAGGTGTAAGCTAAAGTAGGTAAGCTATCCTAAAGGTGCTGCAGATAGTGCAATTAGACTAGGCATAACATGTAAACATGTAAGTAAGAAGTAGAAGTAGTATCTAAATAATATTCTAGGCTGTACTGTACTATATAGTGCTAGAGCAGGTTGTTATAGGCTATAATAGAGTTTGTTAGGGTGGGGTCTTAGCAAAAGTAAGCGACTTAGGTGTGTAAGCAACTCGCCTATGAAGTACATTACATAGTTTTCTATTTATTAACTTAATAACTGCTAAGTTTTTATTTTAATGCTTTTATATCCTTATCTAATGTTTACTTTTTAAAGTTATAGTTAAAGGCTTTTAAAACTAAATCTAAGTTCCTGTCTACTAGTATATCTGCTTGCACATGTAAATTAATAGTAGAAGTATCTAAAACTACCTCTTTATAATTATAAACCTTAGCTTATAGGATTATATTATTAGCATTAAATAGTTACATTATTTTAAACTTTAACTAGATATAAAAAAAAATTAGATTATATAGCCTAGTAAGTATCCTACTACTTATAAACTTTTACTGCTTTTACTTATGCAATTAAACTAGCCTGCGCGTAATAAAGAAGTAGAGTTAGATATTAGACAACACAACACACTATAGAAAAAGAACTATATTTAGTAGTTATGCAGCCTAATAATTAACTACATTAAAGGTTTACTAAGGCTACTAAAATTGTACTAGTCTTTTATTACTTATAGTTTAAAAACACTTAAATTATTAATTTACTTATCTATTAAGAAGTCTAGAACAGGTCTAAAGAACATCTATTTCTCTACTATTACTCTTATCTTAGTAAATGCTTTTTATTTTAATATAAAAAATTAAGTTTTTTTTAACTTTTATTTATAAAATTAAGTGTTTAATTAAAGATAAGTAAGCCTTACTATTAGATAATAAATGTAAAACTAAAGTATTAGTAAACTTCTAATTACTATCTAAATACTGTTAGTACTAAGATGTATTTAGCTACACTACAGCCTACTAATTACTAGCATATTGCTTATATAACTATAAGATTGTTCTTATAGAACTTCTTTTTAATAGTTATAGCCTCTTGTATAAGCAGAATGTTAAGAAACTAGAGGTAATAAAAAAGTATGTTATAAACAATCTAAAATATAGTGTTATTAAGTAAAGTTAGAGCTTTTTTACATTTTTTATTTTTTATGTATAGAAACTAAATAGTAACTTATGTATCTATGTTAATTACTATAAACTTAATGCTATTACCTATAAAAATGTGTATCAAATACTATGTATAGATAAACTTTTATTAAGACCTATAAAGGCAGCTATTTTTACTAAGTTTAATATTTACATAGCTTTTAATAAGATTAGGATAGACCTAAGCTTTAAAAAGTGTATAACCTTTTAGATATAATATAAAACATATAAGTGTAAAGTCTTACTTTTTAAATTATGTAATAGCCTAGCAACTTACTAGCACTATATAAATAATATATTAATTAACTATCTAGATAATTTCTGCATTACTTATCTTAATAACATTCTTATTTACTTTAAAGACAAGGCAACTTATATCCTTTATGTTAAAAAAGTTTTAGAGAGACTATAGTAAGCAGAATTATAAGTAAAAATTAAAAAAAGTAAATTTTATGTTACCTAAATAAAGTATCTTAGCTATATACTTTTAAATAAAGGACTAGAAGTTAACCTATAGAAAGTAGAGGTGCTACATAACTAGTAAGCGCCTACTACTATAATAAGTGTAAAATTCTTTTTAGGCTTTACTAAATTTTATTAATAATTTATTTTAAAAATTTTTTATATAGTAAAACTAATTATTGCGCTTTAAAGCCTTACTACCCCTTTTATATAGACTTTAAAGTGTAATATAGCTTTTAAAAAGCTAAAGTCTAAGCTACTAAAAATACTTATGCTTTACTATTTTAACTTTATATTATAAACTAAAATTAAAACTAACACTTTTAATAGGGTAGTAGCAGGGGTCCTATCTTAAGAACATGCTAATAGAAATTAGTGCCTTGTTTTATTTTATAGCAAGGTCCTATCTAGTTTAGAGCTAAACTAGGAAATATATAATAAGAAGCTATTTATAATTGTTACTATGTTTAAATAATAAAAGGCTAAGCTTACATTAGTAATAATAAGCACTCTAGTATATACTAATTATTAGTTATTAAAGTACTTTATAATAATAAAAGTACTAAATACTTGTTAAGTCTATTAGGCTAAAAAGTTAGCTTAGTATTACTTTTAAATTAAGTACACTCTTAGTAAAAACAACACTAGAGCAGATATTCTTAGCTATTATAAATAAGACTTAAAAATTTAAAAGCAGCTTAAACTAATAACTAGTTAAAGGTTTTACTTAAACTATACTAACTCTACTTTTAAATTAATAAAAGATTAGCCTAGTACTATATTACTTAAATAATAACTTAAGTAACTTTACTAAATGTTATAAAAAAACTAAACTTAGTTATGTCTTTAGATTCTTTAAAATTAATTAACATATTACTTTAAAAGAATTAAGCCTTTTTTACATAAAAGTTAAAACTTTTACTCTACTATTATTAAATAGGAAATAGACTACTTTTTTATACTAACTATTTATATGTTTTAGTAGACTTGCTGCTATATACCTAACTTATCTAAGAAGTCTATAATTAAGTATCTTTAGCACACCTTAGTGCTACTAAAACCTATTAGTTACTGTTCTAAAAGTACTACTAAAAGGGTATAGAGGCTACTTGCAAATAATATATATAGAATTACCTTCTTTATTATAAAGCTTATCTAAAATAAGCCTAAACTCTAGAGCTTATCTACTCTTTTTTAATCCCTAATTAACTAATGCAGCACTTATGTATTAACTTTAAGGATTTTTTTAAAAACAAGTCTAGTTATAACTAGATTATAGTTATAATTAATTACATGTCTAAATAAGCTATTTCTATTCTCTACTATAAAATAATTAACGCCTAAAAAAT